GGGCTGCCGGGCACGATGCGCCCTGAGACGTGTCTGCAACTACGACGCCGGCATCCCCCAACTTCTTTGAGGTGTGTTTTAAAAAAAGCACGCATGGCTCCTTACTTCAGAGAGCTCTGACGTTTTTATTCAGTTCATTCATCTACAGCTGATGGCCTCGAACTCTTTAACAACAAAATGCTGCAAATAGTTTTTAAATTTTCCAACACGTGAAAAGGGACTTTAATAAAAATTTGGGATCTCAGGAACACAGTCAGACTCACAGTGAAAAGCAGCTCGAGCTGGGTGCTGCCGGAGAGGGACCTCGCTGATTTTTATTTCCTTCTTTTATATGTTTGCTAGCATTACAACATTGTTGATTAAACAAACCTTTTGGTTAATACATTGATTAAGTGAATCTATTGGTTAACACATGATGCTGATTTTGCAGTTGCTCACTACAGTAGACTACCCAGTAGCAGATGTTTCTCTTCCTCAGTTAACACTCAGTTGTTTGTTCTGAGCTGTGCAGTTTGGGTTTTTTTTTTCCAGTTTATCACATCTCCCCTTTTTAGAATATTCAGTTTGCTCTAAGTTGACCACGTTCTCTTCCTTCAGAACATTTCAAACTTCTTCTTTCTACATCAACAGTTCTATTAACTCTTAATTTGCTTCCAAAGTTTGCCTTAAAACCAAAAGTTCATTTCACTTATCCTACAGGGACTATGAAAACAGTTTTACACATAGAGTCTTTACTGAATACCTATCATATCACCTGAAAATAAGGCAGATCCAAAGGGTCAGCCCTTTATTTCCTTAAGTAGAACAGTAAATTGTTGGGTTCATTGTTTCAGTAGAACATGGAGAAAGAAGGCTTTTTAAGAAAGACTAGTCAGAGAAATAGACAGTATGTTTTCGTTCAGTATAAATAAAATTCATGATTGTGGATGTTTTCTCCAGCACACTCCCCTATGCGTATCCGACTCACAACATTCCACTGTAGCAAAAGCTGAATCCCAAGAAAAATTAAACCTTGTAACAGGCTAAAAGACAGCTACAGTCTACAGCAGAATCAAAAGCCACTGGTAGCACTGGATGTTGCTCAGCGCCTAGTTGGCAGTGTTAGTACCATCCATGTTCCACATGGTACTAGGCAGCTAGTTTCGCTGTAGCTGCATACTGTCTTATGAATTGCTGCCATGTTATTTTTTTGTGGTTGGGGATTTTAATGGCACAGAATACAGAAGAGAGTTTTGCATTTTTACATTTGGAAGATTCCAAAAAACTACGTCTTATTTTAAAGAAAACAGCCTTAACAGTGGCTTAGATTCTTCCTCTCCAAGGAAAGTTTCCAGAGGGTAGAAGCTTGAATATCTATGAATCTGTTGGAAAAACTAGATACCAAGTTCTTCAGTGAAACTAGGGGTTTCCTCCTCCATATAATACAAGCCAATAATTTAGATTCCCTGCAAAAATGTCTCCTACTGTTTAAGATCATCTAAATGAAGAATACATAAAACGCTCTAGTGCAGAAAACAAACACCTACTGACTATGACTTAGAAGGACGTAATTGCTACATTATATAGTTGAATTAAAGAAATCAGAATATGAAATTAAAAATCATTTATTAACAATTCATATACTTACATAGTTGTTTTCAATGTAATCTGAATAAATGCCACGACTAGCAAAATGTCAAATGAAGGTCACCTTCAGCAGTGATTTTACAGTTACAACTTTGATATTTGAATACACTCAACTTCTAAGAAAAAATACTAACGGAAAAGAAATGAGTTGTCTAAAACGTACCTTCAAATACAAGTTGACTTGTAGTACACTCTGTTCACCCCTTTACGGGAAGAACCCACTCCTTCAGCTCTCACTGTAAACTGCTCTACTAAGACCAATGCAGGAAGCAGCTATGAAAAGTAAAGGAATCGTGCTTGCAAGGTAAGGACTGCGACAGGTTGAAAAAACAAATATTGCCATGAAAGTGTCCGAGCAGCCAGCTGAACGACAGCAGATTTCTGGCAGCTCCTTCACTACAGTCATGCTCCCGTCCTCATTCCTCCTTCTGCGGTTGCAAGGCGGCGTTGCTTTTCTGGGTCACATCTACAGGGTCCACGATCTGATCGGAGAAAACAGCTTCCAGTCGCTCATCGATCTCCGTTTTGTCCCTAAACACACACCAGAGCAGCAGCCCTGCGCACAGCAGGCTGAGGGGCAGCACCTTCCCCCAGGGCCTCTCGTGGTCGCTCCCCATAGACCGGCTGACGCTCCACACCCGCGGGCTGGCCCTGCTGGCGGAGAAGGGCACGGGGCCCTCGCC